GGGGGGGGGGGGCGCCTGGGTGGCTTAGTCAGTTGAGCATCTGACTTCAGCTCAGGTCATGATCTCATGGTTCGTGGGTTCAAGCCCCACATGGGGCTCTGTGCTAATAATAGCTTGGAGCTTGGAGCCTGCTTCAGATTCTGCGTCTCCCTCTCTCTCTGCCCCTCCCCCGCTCGTTCTCTCTCTCTCTCTCAAAAATGAATAAACATTAAAAATTAAAAAAAAAAAAAAAGACATGCTAACTTACTACTGCATTAGCTGATGGTAAAGGCAAAACCTAGATAGGGAAGGTTCTCGAAACAAACCAGGCTTTTTAATCCTAGGGCCAAAACGGTTGATTTTCCGGGAATAAGAGACTCCCTTAGCTCTGCCCTCCTCTTGGGTGACGGGGTCAAGTGGAGAATGTTGGACAATGAGTCCAACAATGTGTCTGCACCGCCTGGCTGTGGGGCTCCATGAGCCTTGGTCGCCTCACCTGCCTCCTCATCCCAGCCTCTTCGTCAAAGGGCTGGTGTGAGGGCCGATGGAGCAGGAGGTGCCCGTGATGAATCCCATGGCCTGGAATAGCCCTCACACACCACGCACGTATTGTCTCTAGGAAAGACGTCCATTCCTTCCTAAACAAGCGCTGAGCAACATGCCCCTTTTTCCTAACGGCTGCAGCTCGCGTCTCTGGAGACAGCAATGAAGTAGCTAAGGATCGATAATGAAGTCTATCTGTCCACGGCACGTGCCACAACACATAGCAAGTACAGATTTCCCTCCTCCGATTCTTTATCGTACACGTGGCGGCCTGTTGCATCACCAGATGGGTTTCTCAGTCAGACACTGTGCCGGCGGGGGGCTGACCCTGATGGCGGGGCCGCGGAGAAGCCGCCGTAGCACAGTCCGCAGCACAGCAAAGGACATCTTGGTCCTCTGAGAACGCTACTCACTTCGTAGCAGAGGAAATCGTTCAAAAGCAGCACTGGCGACGTGGGTTTTTCTGAAGACCGTGGCTCTAAAGGGCAAGTGCAAACTTTCAATGGTTGTGTCGGCTTTTTCTCACCCTTTGCCTTCTGCCTCCGCTGCCTGCTTCCCCCACAGAGAAAGAGCATCTGGACTGAATACGCTACCATCATGACGAGTACGGATGTGTCTAGAAAGCTGAGAGGGGACAGCAGTAACTACTACTCAAAATGACAGACGTTCTGGAGTCAAACGTTGCACAGACTAATAATGAAAGAACAAGGCCAGGGCCTCCCCTCCCAGCACGGCGGAGAATTGGTGCCCGAAAGGCAGCTAAAAGTGTAGTGTGTACTTGTCCAAAGCAACATCGACTCAACAAATACTCAAGAGGGACTATCACATGCTGGGTACCCTATGCTGGGAGCTGAGGAAAGAGAAGTCGCAACACACAGGGAATGACCGTCCCAAGTATGAGTAAGAGCAGCAGTTCCCAATAGGCCACCAACCAGAATCTTCTAACAAAGCAAGCCAGTGCTGTCCACAAGACAATGGCAATCAGTGTTGCCACTGACAACTCAAAGGCGTTAAAGATGCAAGCATACCTTCTGAAGCACCACACGGAAGGACAGCAGGAGCTCGTAGACAGGGATGTCTAGGACTCGACCTGGGCCCAGCAAATTCTAAAATTCCAAGCTCCGCTCAACCCAAAGCCAACAGGTGGAAGGCTGAAATCCCATAGCGATTCGAAAGCTGATCAAAGCTCCCCATTTTGACAATGCCCATGTTATTCCCTTGGTTTTTCCTGCTGCCGTACAGATTTGTGGGTACTCAGGCTCTAAACCAATAAAGTTGTATTGAACCACAGCCATGCCATTTGGACACATACTGTCTATGTCTGCTTTTGCCCTGCGTTGGCACCGCTGAGCAGCTGTGAGGGAGGCTGGCTGACCGGCAAGCCTGGAGTATTTACTCTCTAGCTCTGTGCAGAAGTTTGCTGACCTACGGTTTCAGGCCGTTGTTAGCCACCCACTGAGCAGCTCAGTGTGACACTGGTGGTCGGTCACAACTCGCTCCACCCCTCCAACGTCTGTGGCAGCATAACCTCCTGTCCTCTGCAGCCTGAGCGTCAGCTCACTTGTGTGCTCCATCAAACTCTTCAATGATCAGAAAGGCGTGTGTGTGTTTTTTAAATGTTTATCCATTTTTGGGGTGCCTGGGTGGCTCAGTCGGTCAAGCGTCCGACGTCAGCTCAGGTCACGATCTCGCGGTCCGTGAGTTCTCCGTGAGTTCGAGCCCCGTGTCGGGCTCTGGGCTGATGGCTCAGACCCCGGAGCCTGCTTCCGATTCTGTGTCTCCCTCTCTCTCTGCCCCTCCCCCGTTCATGCTCTGTCTCTCTCTGTCTCAAAAACAAATAAACGTTTAAAAAAATAAATAAATGTTTATCCATTTTTGAGAGAGAGAGGGAGACACAGAACTGGAAGCAGGCTCCACACTCTGAGCTGTCAGCAGAGCCCGACGCGGGGCTCTAACTCATGAACTGGGAGATCGTGACCTGAGCTGAAGCCGGACGCTTAACCGACTGAGCCACCCAGGCACCCCAAGGTGTGAATTTTTGAAATGCACGATCACTGCAAATAAATTTTAGAACGATGCTCCTGTTCAGATATTTCCAGTGATGAAATTATGCTCACAGTATATTTGGACTAGTTGACCGTATTCTGTCCTCTGACAGTTACTCATTCTTGACTACACAAATGGCAACGTGAGTAAACTGGGGTGATGTTTCGTATGTGTGATTTTGCTGAGGAATAGGCCTTTCCGCAGAAGTAAATTTCCCGGTAACCACGTTTTAACCATTAGGATGGTTAAGATAGAAATGAAAAATAAAAAATGCAAGTAAGATAAAGACAAAAAAAAGCTACTGATAGCTGTCCCTGTCTTAAGTACAATAACCGTCCATTTCTTTGGAGTGACTTAAGGTCATTACCCAGAGCATCAATTACTGGAGTGTGTTAGGTAATGATGTCCTTAGGGGTTACAGAGATTCACTGCGGGCTCTCGGCCTCACACCAGCTGGCCTGTTCAGACTACTATAATTTTAATTCCAACGTCTCCTTTGTATGGTTGTCTTCCTGTTCCATTGCTGGCTACTGTCATTTCTGTGTCTACAGTGGTTCCCAACAAATTGTCCATTTATGATCACTGACGGGCCGAAGGCTGGAAAACAAATGCAACTAAACCACGATTAGATTTCTTTGTAACAGAAGGGTACTCATTTTAGGTAATAGGACTTTAGGAAGGTGCTATGTGCTCCCACCAAACAGTTCCTGTGGGCTGGATGTCTTTTCATTAGCCCAGGGCCTGGCACATAGTGGCCACTTACTATGCGTGTCATTACACGAATGCTGGAGTAAAATGCCTTGAGTAAAAGGCCCACCTCTGGAGGCCCCGTGTGCCTTACTTTCAGGGGCATGGCCATATTCTAGATGGTGGAGGGTGCAGCAAGTAGGACTATGAAGTAGGTGGAGGGCCATACCTGGAATGTTCCATCCTTAAACAATGCGGGACCAGATGTGTATAGAGGAGCTCTGTTGTCCTGTTGCCCCTCGTTGGTGAGGGACAGTCTGCGATCTGGGAAAGCACTCGGCCAAGGGCACACCAGGCAGAGCTAGACACACCAAGTGTTGGGCTGAAGTTCACACTCTAACCCACACTTTAGAGTCTCAAAATACCCTGCTCAAAACCAATCAAGGCATACTGTTATAAAAAGTGCACCTAACCCCCAGGCCCCTTAAGAGCAATGCAGTAGTGTGCCAGTAAGGATTTGTTCCTTCAATTAGCCAACTGAGAATCTGAGAAACACGGGAGAAAACTCACCTGGAGCAAACTGCACACCTTCCCTTCACTCTACCTCTGAAGACAACACTCGAAAAGCCAAACACTGACCTCTTTTCCTTTTCTAGTTTCAATTGGGGAAACTCTAATCCTTGGGGGTGAGAAGTGGCTCTTTGCCCATAACCTACTCCCCACGTGAGAGTCCTTGCTTGCAAGGGT